TGAAGAGAAGTTTATTTCCTCACAGTGAAAGTAGGCTAAAAGTCCAAATTCAGGGCATCAACTCCAGGGGAAGGCTTTTTCTCTCTGTAGGCCTTCTTCTCTTCAGTGTTCCCCCGGACTAGGAGCTTCTCGGCACAGGGACCCCAGTCCAAAGGACATGCTCTGCTCCCGGCACTCCTTTCTTGATGGTATGAGGTCCCCCCGTCTCTCTGCTCACTTCTGTCTTTTATATCTTAAGACATTGCCGCAGGATACAATCCAATCTTGTAGACTGAGTCCTGCCTTACTAACACAACTGCCACCCATCCTCCCTCATTAACATCATAGAGGCAGGATTTACAACATACAGGAAAATCATACAGTACCAGGAATCATGGCCTAGCCAAATTGATACACACATTTTTGGGGGGACATAATTCAAACTATGACATGTACATATGAGTTTTGGAGGGTTCTTGAACCAAAACTAAAACCAAGCCCAAACTCACTGTTGTTGAGTTGATCCCAACTCATAGCGACCGTATAGCACAGTAGAACTGCCCCACATGATTTCTAAGGAGAGGCTAGTGGATTCGAACTGCAGACCTTTTGGTTAGCAGCCTAGCTCTTAAGCACTGTGCCACCAGGGCTCCAAACCAAAACCAAGGGGGGAAAAGGCTCTATTGCAAAGAAATTGAATGAATTGGGTGAGGAGAACAACTGCATGGAGAGTTGACTCTCCAGAATAAGCCCTCGAAATTCTGGTATTTACAAGTCTTCCAGCATAATGACCCATTTCTTGCTTTCTGTCTCAAAGCCAGTTTCCAATCAACAGATTCTGTCAGTGTTGCCTTTTCCCCCAAAGTAGAGCTTTCCAGTCAACGAGTCCTGCCCATCACTTAAAGATCTTCTGTCATTTTTTCTACTGTCTTATTCTTAAATGTGAACAAATAAGCAAAGGTAACCAGATAGTTTAGGAAAGAGTACATGAAAAAAGAGAGACCAAGCTAAACAGAAAAAGTGATGCTGAAGGAAATAGATAATTTTGGGAACAAAAGAAAACTTAAAAAAAAAAAAACAACTAATCATTGTAGTCAGTGAAGTTTGAGATGGCACCATAACCACAAAACAACAGGATATTATGAGAAAAAAATTCTTGGAGAACATTGAAAACTCTTTGGAAACTGAAATTATTTGCCACTCACCCCTCCCCATCACCAAAAAAAAGAAGAAGAAAAGAAAATAGGTAATAGATACAGTTGCCCAGACTGCAAAATCAAAAGACAGAAAATAGAATTTATGACAAAAAATAAAGATCAGTCCAACAGCTCTTAATACCTTTTCTAAGAAGAATTCCAGTAAGAGAATAATAGGATGAAGGAAAGACATTTTCAGATATATAGTATGAAAATTTCCCAGAACTGAAGGGAGACCTGGATTTCCAGATTGAAATGGGCCATCAAGTGAGTAGCAGAAGGAATGAAGTAAAGAAGCACCTCTGGACATGTCACTGAAGATTCAGGACAGCAGGAGTAAAGAGAAGATAGCAAACATTTGGGAGGGTGAAGGGCAAAGTGAAATAGAACAGGTTGTCTACAAAGCAATGACAGACACTTATACTGCCATCAGACTTCTCATCAGCTGACTCTGGATTCTAGAAGACAGTTGAGTAATTCCTTTGAAGTATCGAGTGCAATTGATTTTTTCAACCTGGAAATCTGTATTTACTTTAACAATCAAACAAGTGTGTGACCAAATTTAAAACATTTTAAGAAATGCATATATTTGGAATGCTAACTTCTCATACACTCTTTCTTAGGAAGTCACTGGTGGATATCCTGCAGCAGAGTTGGTGAGCAGACTGAGAAAGAGAATTGCATGGGGTCTAGGAAATAATAGATTCAACTCAGGAGAAGTAAAGAAAAGTCCCAGGAAATTAAGTGTTTAGCAGACCTAGAAAACAAATCTTTGAGCCTGGAGTGGGAAGATGGAGAGATTAAAGAAGGAAGAACATAGACAAAAGGAAGGGAAGAATCGAAAACCTATTATCTTTGAGAAGTTGGAGGACATGACGGATGGAGTAAAGGCATGTAATGCAAGATAACAAAGATAATCACATTTCAAGGGAGTAAAAGATGTATAAGAAATGTTTCTTTGGTAGTGAATTGTTTATTATAATATTTCCATAATCATAGTGGTGTTAACACTGTATAAACTCTTTGAACCTGTATATTACATATCTTATGCAAGGATAAAATATAGATAATTAGCCTTGACAAAGTATAGATAAAAAATGGGAGATGGATAGTTATGGGGTGTCCTAGTTATCTAGTGCTGCTATAACAGAAATACCATAAGTGAAGGGCTTTAACAAATGGAAGTTTATTCTCTCACAGTCTAATAGGCTAGAAGTGTGAATTCAGGGTGCCAGCTCCAGGGGAAGGCCTTCTCTCTCTGTCGGCTCTGGAGAAAGGTCCTTGTCATCACCAAGAAAACAGAGCTGGGAGCAGTGCACATCCTTTGGACCCGGGGTTCCTGCACTGAGACACTCCTAAACCAAGCGAAGATTGATGACAAGGACCTTCCCCTAGAGCCAATAAGAGAGAGAAAGCCTTCCCCTGGAGCTGGCACCTTGAATTCGGATTTCTAGCCTCCTAGACTGAGAGAATAGATGTTAAAGCCATCCACTTGTGGTATTTCTGTTACAACAGCTCTAGATAACTAAGACATGGGGGAAGGCTCAAGAAAAGGTAAGGGACATTTTTAGCCTGTCTTTCAAAGGTGGGGAGTGTTTGGAGATGATGGAAAGGTACTGTCGGTAGTTGAAGAAGAAACATAATATATAAATATATTATTTAAACTGTGTAAACTAGTGTAAAAATGGGGTGGCAGAGGCATAGTCTGACCTCCTTGTGTGACTTCACAAGCAGGAAGGAGAATCAAGGTCAGTAGCCCAGGGCTGAGTCCTATGAGGTGGCGGTCAGACATATCTCCTCTCTCCAACCTTTTTTCCGATTCTGACACCAACTGTCCCTCCCATGACACTCTCTACTTCTCTGCTAGGTTTGATAATTTGTTGAAATGACCACAGAACTCACAGACCATACTCAGTTATGGGTTTTTTTTAGGGAAGTAACACCTTACAATTCAGATTCAGGAATGCTCAGGATACAGTTCTTCGATTAGGGCAGCTTCTTTTCAGCCATGCCCACAGGCACGCCTCTCTCTGGCCCTCAGCCCCTCAGCCCCTTGGGCCAGTCTGGCCTCTGCCTTGCTCAGGCAAGGGTTATAAAGCTCTTTCAGCTCTGCAGATAAGTGCCCTGAGGCACCCCACTCCCCCAGTAAGCCTTGGCGCTAAGGCGCTCACCTCTCTTGCTCAGTGGGTCTGTGAGCCGAGCTCTGCCACCAAGTGCCCAGAGACACCCTACTCTGCCAGGAGACCACATGACTGAAGGCGCTCAGCTCTCTCATTCCATGGGCTGGGAAGCCCACCATGCTGTCTCGTGCTGGTCTCCTGGTTCTGTTGCCTTTGCTGCTGCCGTTTCTCTGCCACTCTTTCTCACTGTCTCTAATGTTACAGTAGTCTCTCCTCTCTCTTCTGGGTCCAAGAGATTCTCAGCTCAGGGATCCTAGGTCCAAAGGATGCATTCCACTCCTGACTCTTCTTTCTTGATTATAGTGAGGTCCCCCTCTTTTCTAAGATTGGCTCTCTTTTAAGCTTAGCAGGATGGCAAAACTGACCAATCCCCTCTTTAGGGTTCCATACACCTTATTTTTATGGTTTACCCCCACAAGGGTGCCATGCACCTTATTTACATTATTAGAAGCTAGCCAATTCCCTTGGTGAAACACAAGCACCAGATTTGCCTAGTCCCACTCAGTCATTTGATGGGAGTTACAACGACTATGGCTAGAAGAGCCATATTAAGTAATTTACTGCATGGCAACTACCATAGTGATATAATTATATAGGGAGAAGGAATAACTGATAATAGCAAAAAATTAGTAGGTAATGTCCCAAATGGATAAATGTATAGTCAAAGAGAGAAAATAAAATGTGTAAATATATTACTTATAATTACATTAATGTAGTCATATAATTATATTGGGAGGAAGGATAGATAATAGTAGGACATGAGTACGTAATGTCCAAAATGGATAAATCAGAATGTTTATATTTAATTTGCAGATTTGAGTAATAACTTTTAGAACTGTCCTTAAATGGTAGCCACTAATCCATGTGACTGCTGAGCACTTGAGATGTTGCTAGTCTGAATTGAGATGTGCTGTGAGTATAAAAATATGCACTGGATTTTGAAGATTTAGTATAAAAATGAGTATTAGCTATCTCATTAATGTTTTTATGTTCATTTTATGTTAAAATGATAATATTTTATATGTTTTGGGTTAAATCATTAAAATTAATTTTACCTGTTTTTACTTTTTTTAATGTGACTACTAGAAAATATAAAATTACATATGTGACTTGCATTATGTTTCTCTTGGACAGCACCACTGTAGAATCTAGTCTAGAGTATACAGTTAAAATTGATTCCCTTCTGGGAGTGGAGCCCTGGTGGCACAGTGGTTAAGAGCTCAGGCTGCTAACCAAAAGGTTGGCAGTTTGAATCTACCAGCTGCTCCTCGGAAATCCTGTGGAGCAGTTCTCTTCCATCCTATAGTGTTGCTATGAGTTGGACTTCACTCAATGGCAGTGGGTTTGGTTTTTGTTTTTTTGGGGAGAGAGTAGGCTGAGCCTGGGGAAAGTTGGGTTATGGGACAGTTGTTTTTCATTTTAAGCTCTTCTTTAAGTTATTTGATTTTTAAAATGTATTAATGAAATTTGGTAAAAATTACTTCTTTAACAAAGGCTGTGGCCTCTAATTTGTCATGTTCTAAATTATATAGTTAATGTTAAGGAAGTTTGTAATTAAAACAATAATTATCTTGTACAATATTTTTCCTTTATGTCAAGTTGCTATATCAGAAATAAAATACTTGTTTTTCCTGCTCTTGTTTAGCTTATTGCAGGAGTGTCCAGGACATTATCTTCTAGAAGTAATGCCCACAGAAAGCGGAAGTTGTTCAGCTGCTCGCCAAGCAAAACAAAAACGCAAATCACATAGCCTTTCTATAAGAAGAACTAACAGCTCAGAACAGGAAAGGACGGGACTTCCAAGAGAAATGTTAGAAGGACAAGTAAGTCAGTATCTATCAGTGTCTTATTTAAAAGATGCTGATCATATTTATCATGTTATAAAAATAGCCAAATTTATATAGGTCTCCAAAGTAAAACAAAAGGTTTGGGTTATCAAAAATATCCCCTAAACAACAACAACAAAACCCCAGAACCATTAAAATTACTGTCAAATACAACAACATACACAGAGATAGAATTAGGTTCCTAGATTAACCTTTATTTATCATACTTGGTAAAAAAGAGTGTGGTGGGACAGTTTGGATTAGTTTTTATTCTTTGTACAGGCTAATTGATAGTACAGTTTTAGGGTTTTTTTTTTTTGTCTTTGATAATCTCAAGAAGAGCACCATAGATAATTTTAATTATCTCTTGTTTTCTGAAGAGTTTTTAAAATCAGATCTTTTGATAACTTTACTTGGCTCTGTCCCTGTCTCTGCTGCAGTGAGTGTGCCATCTACTGTTTTTTATTGTATTATATATCTTTCCAATAATTTGTTGCTTCCTTTAATACTAAGAGTGAATATTTTGTTGATAAAGATAAGTTTTGCTTATACTTTTTCTAGTGAATTCCTTTAGAGATGATGAAAATGTTAGAATTTTTAAAGAATATTATTGTGAAGCCTAGACAAAAATACGTTATATTAAAATAAATTATAACTATATCTATGTATATATATTTATGTATATGTATTACAATATACATATATATAAACTAAATTTGTAACCTTTCTTTCACAATTGGAACTAATTCGTAAGCTATAATATTATTGGAAAATAAGACTTAAATTTGAAAAGTTGACTCATACGATAATTAGAGCTTATTGGAACCATACAGATAACTTTATGTCAGGAACTTTTTATCTCTTTGAACTTCTAGGATGTGATCTTTACAAGAACAGTAGTATACATTCAGAACCTAACCCATCCTGGTACATAGTAGATCTTCAACTAGAGTTCATTTATTATGTATTGAATAAATGAATGAATAAACAAATACGTTTCTGTTCTCTATATGAAATGATTAAATTTTAATTTAATATTGGAAATAAAATAATAGATTTAAGGAGCCTTCAAAATATCTTTGATATTCTTTGTAAAGTGAATGTCTAAACCAGAACTGTTCCATAGAACTTCTGTGATGATGGAAATATTCTGTATTTGCTACCTGATGCTGTAATCACTAACCACCTATGGCTGTTGAGCAAATGAAATGTGGCTAGTATGACCGAGAAGCTGAAATTTTAATTAATTTGCATTTACATTTAAATAGTCAGTTGTGAGTAGTGACCACTGTATTGGACAGTGTAGGTAAACAGTCTGAAATAAGTTTTTTTAGTTTTTAGATTTACTTACATTTCTAATAGTGAAAGTTTCACAATCTCCTTTGCTAGCAGATTCTAGCAGTAACTTTCCGATCAGGTAAATGCGTTCTTATTTTCTTGGCCTTCTTTAGTGCCAGTTCTCTATTGTGATGTAAAACAAGTATCTAATTGTAACTCATAGCAACCCGTTATAAAGGTAGTTCAAAATTCTCTCAACTTAAACAACCCACTATGTGGTAGCTCTCCTATGGCATACATCTTTGTGTTGGCGACATTTCCTAGACAGTGCTTATTTGTTGAATGAATAAACTTATTTGCAGTTGGACCAATCAGCATGTTTCTATGAGTGGTCTGTGTGACAGTGGTTTTCCTTAGTTCAGAAGCAAGAGGGAGAAGATAATGATACATGTGTTTTGATCCAAGCAGTTGGCATGGTAGGTATAAGTGGAAGGTTGTAAGCATTAGGAGTAGTGGACTGCAGACAGAGTTGAATTGAATGATAGGAGTGATGACTTTCTAGACAAAGTAGATAGGAATGCTCTTTCAGTTGTTGAGGAACAATGTTAAAAAATGTTCAAAAAAAAAAGAAGAGAGTGAAGATCAGCGTGGATGAGAAGTTCTGGTAGGTTTAAATTTTATGTCTTAGATTCATAAATATGAAGTATTTTAGAAAGCACTGACTAATGCAATGATGAGAGGTCTATTGTTGAATCTATATATGTACCAAGGATTGACTGTAGCCTGAAAAAATTTTTCTGTTTATGTACTGTAGTTTTTCAGATGTATGTAAATGTGGTGTGATGAAATGCAAACTTATTCAAAAGCTTCACTGAATTTATAGTAGCTTTTTTTATCACAAGTTTTCTCAAGAGGTACTAAAATTTCAACACCTGTCATTTCAGGGTCTGTGAAATTTAATGGCATCAAAAAGTAGTATTATTAAAAAAGGTTGAAAAGCAATTTTGTAAGTACTTCTGTTTGGCTCAACTCGCCCTCTAGTGGAAAAGTTCTCATTTCACTTTATGTTTAGTTTCTTGATTATTTTATAAAGTGAGGTTAATGTTGACATCTTAGCTTTGTTTTCCATAAGTAAATGCAGCATTTTAGTTCCTGGATAATAAGCATCTTAAAACATGGATATAAGTGAGTAGGATTGGGTTAAGTGTAAGAGTAGATTTGACTTTGTGTGGAAGGTGAGAAAGGCTTCCCTAAGGAAGTGACACTTAAGCTGAGAAAAGAACAATGAGGAGGGATTAACTAAATGAGAGGGTGAGGGAAGAATGTTCCATAGAGAGGAAGTAGAATATAAAGACTGCAAGGCAGGGTAGAGTATGTTAAAAAATGATTTTGATTCTTATTCAAATCCCTTATATCTTGTTGGAATTTCCTCCCATAATGATTTAGTTTTAATTTTCATTTTTTTCTTCATGTTTCTACATTGGTATTTTAGAGGGAAATTGGGAGATTCTGTATTACTGATTGCTACCAGATTCAATTTTTAAACCAGTGAATAAATATATATATATATATCTTCTAGAGACTGCCACACACACACGCACACACACACACACACACACAGAGACACACACACAGACACACAAACCAAACCGACTGCCATCCAGTTAATTCTGACTCATAGTGACCCTATAGGACAGAGCAGAACTGCCCTGTAGGTTTCCAAGGCTGTAAATCTTTACAGAAGCAGACTGCCACATTTTTCTCCCTTGGAGCAGCTGGTGGGGTCGAACTGCCAACCTTTTGGTTAGCAGCCAAGTGCTTTAACCACTGCACCACCAGGGCTCCTATATATACGTGTGTGTATGTGTGTGTGTGTATATGTGTATATATATATGAGTATATGTGTATATATGTGTATATATATATATACACACACACCAAACCAAACCCTTAGCTGCGACTCATAGCAAACCCTATAGGACAGAGTAGAACTGCTCCATAGGGTTTCCAAGGAGCAGCTGGTGGATTCGAACTGCCCACCTTTTGGTTAACAGCGGAGCTCTTAATCACTGTGCCACCAGAGCTCCACTATATATTTATATATGTGTGTATGTATTTATTTATATTTATATATTTATATATGTGTGTGGGTGTGTGTATATGTGTGTGTATATGTATCTGTATAGATATTTATTTAGTTATATATGTTGTAAGTTGCTGTCAGGTTGATTCTGATTCATGGCAACCCTGTGTGTGTATGTGTGTGTATATGTGTGTGTATTCTTTTTTTAAACTGGCCCCTAAAATTTAATTTAAAATTCTGTGATTATTTCAAACTCATATTGCTAAAATGCTTGTATCGCTTGAGATCATTTTTTCTCTAAAATTTTTGTCTTCCTAAGAAGTTAATCTGAGAATGAATTTATAATAAACATTTTATATATTTTTTTAATTTGCAGCTCACTAAACATAAGAAAGTTTGTGCTGTATATAAATTTGAAAAGGCACTTAGAAAATTACAGTGACAGTAGTTAAGTATTAAAACATTTTTAGAGATGTTTGTTGAGAACTTTGAAAATTATTCTGAATACAGTGGGGGGACAAAATACTAATGAGATTAGAATAGAATATAGACTGTGTATTTCCTGCTTATTAGCAGTGTCCAGGAAAAGTAAATGTTTTGTGAACATTTTCGGTGCTGCTAACTCATTTGACCATACTTAAAAAATTCAACTGAGATGTTGCTTCTTCCCATTAACTTCCCATGACTTTTTAGATAGACACTGGAGATTAGAGGATGAGAAAGCACGTGCCCAGCCATGCAGGTATGAAGAATGTGGCACAATTGGGGAACTTAAACATTCATATTTTCATTTTAACTAATAGAGATTTTGATCTGATAGATGAGATATTTCTTTTTTCCTCTTCACAACTTAGTCTTGTAGGTATTAAGTAGTGTTATAGGAAATATCCAGTTTATTTGTGCTTAAAGCACAGTGAAACATGAGGACTCTATAAAGATGGGTTCCATTAGCATGTTAAAATACTTTCATAAGACCAGATAATAGAATTTAAAAAGACTTTATAATGTAATTTTATTTATGAAACTGCCTTCCTTCCCTATAAATTTGGAGTTTTTAAATAAGGTAGGCTTATTTCCTTCCTTATAAAAGGAAGATTTGTATTACTTTGAAGAAGTGTTTATTCGTAAATCCCATATTGCACTAGGTAGCCAAATTATAAAATATGGTTATAGTTTTTCTTTGTAGAAATTTGAAATTTTAAATTCTTTGCATTTTATATATAAGAAATAAGCTATGTAATGGTATAAGAATTTAGGGTAAATTATAATTTACTTGTCAAAAAAGTATATTGGTGGTTGGTGTCTAAGTTATTATTGTAAATATAATCTTCCTTTTCTATAGGATTCTAAATTGCCTTCCTCGGTTCGTAGTACACTGTTGGAACTGTTTGGTCAAATAGAAAGAGAATTTGAAAACCTTTATATTGAAAACTTAGAATGTAAGTATCTCCTTTCTGAATATACTTTTGTAATTTTTTACTTATTCATAGAAATCTTTGAGTCAGATTTGTGGGTGGGTATGCAGCTACTATATTAGTTTTCTATTCTGCCGTAACAAATCTAGTGGCTTAAAACAACATAAATTTATCATCTTACAGTTCTGTAGCTCAGAAGTCTGGTATGGGTCTTACATGACTAAAGTTAAGATGTTGGCAGAGCTGTGCTTTTTCTTGGAGGGTTTAGTGGAAAATCCATTTCCTGCTTATTTGGATTGTTGGCAGAATTCAGTTCCTTGTGGTTGTAGGACAGAGATCCCCATTTTCTTGCAGTTTATAAGCTGAGGGCCATTTCCAGCTTCTAGAGACTGCCATGTTCCTTAGCTCATGGACCCCATCCTCCATCTTCAAAGACAGCAACAGTGGGTCGAGTTCTTATCCTTTCACACATATCTGAACCACTCTTCCACTTTCCTTTTCCACTCATAAGCACTCATGTGATTGAATTGGGCCCATCTGGATAATCCAGGAAACTCCCCGCATCTCAAGGTCCTTAAGCTTAATCTCACTGCAAAGTCCCTTTTCCCATGTAAGGCAACATATTTTCACTGGTCAGGGCAGAACCATTTTTGGGAGAATCATTATTCTGCCTACCACACCTACCAGTGTGAATTATGATTTTATAAAAAATAAATTCACCTTGTAATTTTTTATATACCAAGTGTACTGTAAATTGAGAAAAATTTGATTCTGTTTTTCTTCATTATATAATTTGAAAATTTGCTAAAATACTAAGTATTACTTGTTTCAGCTATTAGTTAAAGGTAAATCAAAAGAATTTTGGGTTAATTAAGTGCTTTGTTTTAGTGTTTTTTTTTTTTTTAAGTAATGGTGACATATGCTTAAAAACAAAACTAAACTAACTCAACAGTATAAACAGAAAAAATATCTCTACCATTTCCTTTCTGCCCACCCTGTCCCACACTTTGAAGGAAGATATCTTCTGCATTCTTTGCTTTTAGTTCTGGTGATTATTTTTATAAATTTAAATAAGGTTTCATTTTTAGATTTATCAACTTTAGATCATATATAGTAATGCTTCACTGAATTGTTAGGAAATAAACGCATCCTTTTTTATCCCGCTTGCTGCTCCAGTTGTAACTTTCCAATTTTTGTTATTTTACAGGAGTATAAAATTGACATTATGCAAATGTGACTATCGTGCTTTATCTATAAGTTGATTCCAAAAATTGAATAATAACACAGAGGATTTACATTATTAAAATATTTTTCATCCTAGAACGAACTGATGTGGTTGGAACAGTAGTGAAGAAAATGTAATTCTGTGTCATTTAAACTTCACTTTTTGTAATATTCAATGTTTTAGTATTGGATTCTCTTTCTTCTAAGTCTACTTTAAATATTTATAGAGGGAGAAACTATTCCAAGTTTTTATAAAATAAAAATTAGGTAACATGTACTGCCTCTAATTTTATTTTGTTTCTTTAAGTGTCAGAGTTTTAACAGCTAAAGTATTACTTACTGAGTTTCCACTGAAATCTAAAGTCTTATTTTTAATGAATTCACGTGGTTCGCTCAAGAAACTCTAGGGTTAAGAATTACTAATGTTAATTAGAAGGTACTTTTGAGTTTGCCTTATTAGCTACTCAAAAGTTTTGGTAGCTTCCTCCTGCTTATAATATATAGTCAAAATTGCTTAGACTGGATGACATTTACAGCCTTTTGCCTTTCACCTGTCTTTTTAACCTTATCTCATTCTATTCTTTCACTCAGACCCTTTCACCTAGACCAGCCTTTTCATTACACCCTGAAAAGATCTGCTATAATAGTGGGAGGCTGCATACTACAGTGGCAAGAACATTGGCTTTAAAACTGGGTAGATTTGTGTGCAGTGCAGATCAGGTCCCAGCTTCATCACTTCATTAGCTTTGTGTCCTTGGACTAGTTACTTAACCTTGCTGAGTCTCTTATTTCCTTATCTCTACAACAGGGATAGCAACACTGATATTCCAGGCTTGTAATACAGGGCCTGATGCCCAGAAGCTGATCAACAGTGTTAGTTTCACGTTCCTTCTAGTATCTTTGCTCATTCTATTCTATATACTTGATGACCTTCCTTTTTATCCTTCTTCTTTTTTTTCTCCTATAATTCTGTAATTCCTATTAACGTTTGAGAAGTTTCCTTGAATTTTTCTTTTTTTAACTATGCTTTAGGTGAAAGTTTACACACAAATTAGTTTTTCTAATTCAAAAATTTATAAACAAATGGTTTTGTGAAGTTGGTGGGAATCCCACAATGTGTCAGCACTCTCCCCCTTTCCCTTTACACCATAGGTTCTCCGTGTATATTCATCCAGTTTTCCTGTCCCTTCCAGCCTTCTCCTCTTTGCTTTGGGGAAGGCGTTGCCCATTTGGTCTTGTAGACTTGATTTGACTAAGAGGCATGTTCTTCATGTATGTTATTGTTTGTTTTATAGGCCTTGTCTTAGTCATCTAGTGCTGCTATAACAGAGATACCACAAGTGGATGGCTTTAACGCTGAGAAGTTTATTCTCTTACAGTCCAGTAGGCTACAAGTCCAAATTTAGGGGGTCAGCTCCAAGGGAACGCTTTTTCTGTCGGCTCTGGAGGAAGGTCCATGTCATCAGTCTCCCCTTGGTCTGGGAGCTTCTCTGCGCAGGAACCTGAGGTCTAAAGGATGTGCTCTGCTGCTGGTACTGCTTTCTTGATGGTATGAGGTTCCCATGTTTCTCTGCTCACTTCTGTCTTTCATATCTCAAAAAAGATTGGCTTAAGACACTATCTAATCTTGTAGACCTCATCAGTATAACTGTCACTAATCCATTTCATTACATCATAGTGATTGAATTTACAACACATAAGGAAATCACATCAGATTACAAAATGGTACACAGTCATACAATACTGTGCCGACGGATATTTTTGGGGGACACAATTCAATCCATGACAGGGCTGTCTAATCTTTGGCTGAAAGGTGGACTTGGGAGTGGCTTCACTTCTGAGTTAGCAGGGTGTCTAGGGCCCATAGTCTCGGGAGTTCCTCCAGTCTCTGTTGGACCAGTAAGTCTGGTCTTTTTTGTGAATTTGAATTTTAGTTCTACATTTTCTCCCACTCTGTCTGGGACCCTCTGTTGTGATCCCTGTCAGAGCAGTCAGTGGTAGCTGGACACCGTCTAGTTCTTCTGGGCTCAGGCTAGTGGAGGCTGTGGTTCCTGTGGTCTTTTAGTCCTTTGGACTAATGTTTCCCTTATGTCTTTGGCTTTCTTCATTCTCCTTTGCTCCAGACAGGATGGGACCAATAGATTTATCTTAGATGGCTGCTCAAAAGCTTTTAAGACCCCAGACGATACTCACCAAAGTAAGATGTAGAACATTTTCTTTATAAACTATGTTATGCCAGTTGACCTGGATGTCTCCTGAGGCCATGGTCCCCAGCCCTCAGCCGCAGTAACTCGGTTCCTCAAGGTGTTTGGATGTGTCTGGGAAGCGTCTATGACTTTGCCTTGGTCAAGTTGTGCTGACTTCCCGTATGTTGTGTGTTGTCTTTCCTTTCACCAAAGTTAACACTTGTCTGATCTCTAGTTGGTGATTTCCCCTCCCCATCTCTCCCCTCCCTCTTAACCATCAAAGATTGTTTTTTTCTGTGTGTAAACATTTTCTTGAGTTTTTATAATACTGGTCTCATACAATATTGATGATTGACTTATTTCACTCAGTGTAATACCGTCTAGATTCTTCCATGTTGTGAGATGTTACATGGATTCATCATTGTTCTTTGTCTTTGTGTAGTATTCCATTGTGTATATGTATCATAATTTGTTTATCCATTCATCTGTTGATGGACACTTAGGTTGTTTCCATCTTTTTGATATTGTGAATAATGCTGCAGTGAACGTGGGTGTATGTATGTCTGTTCGTGTGACTGCTCTGATTTCTCTAGGGTATATTCCTACGAGTGGGATTGCTGGATCATATGGTATTTCTGTTTCTAGGTTTTTAATGAGGCACCATATTGTTTTCCAAAGTGGTTGTACTGTTTCACATTCCCACCAGCAGGGCATAAGAGTTAGAATCACCCCACAACCTCTCCAACATTTGTTATTTTCTCTTTTTTTGATGAGTACTGGTAATGTCGGGCTGAGATAGTATATCATTGTAGGTTTGATTTGCATTTCTCTAATGGTTAATGATGTTGAGCATTTCCTCATGTGTCTGTTGGCCGCCTGAATGTCTAGTTTAATTTATTCTCAAGTATTTTATCTTTTTAGGGATTATTATGAGTGGTATTGTTTTCTTGATTTCCTTTTTGAAGTTCTCTTTTTTGGTGTACTGGAATCCAACTGATTACTGTGTGTTGATCATGCATCCTGCTACTCTGCTGAATCTATTAGTTCTGGTAGTTTTCTTGTGGAATCTTTGAGGTTCTCCACGTATAGGATCATACGATCTGCAAATAGGGATAGTTTTACTTCTTCCTTTCCATTACGGATGCCTTTTAATTTTTTTTTCTTGCCTTATTGCCCTAGCTAGGACTTCCAGCACAATGTTAAATAGGAGTGGTAGTAAAGGACATCCTTGCCTTGTTCCTGTTTTCAGCCTCTCTCCATTAAGAATGATGTTGGCCGTTGGTTTTGTCTAGAAGCCTTTTATTCTGTTAAGAAATTTCCCTTCCATTCCTATTTCATTGAGAGTTGTTATCAGGAATGGGTATTGGACTTTATCAAATGCCTTTTCTGCATTGATTGAGATGATCATGTGATTCTTTTGTTTTATTTATGTGGTGGATTACGTTGATTAATTTTCTAACATTGAACCATCCTTGCATTACTGGTATGAATCCTACTTGTTTATGGTGTTTTTTTTTAATATGATGCTGAATTCTATTGGCTAGTATTTTGAGAACTTTTGTATCTATATTCTTGAGAGATACTGGTCTGTAATTTTCTTTTTTTGTGGTGTCTTGCCTGGCTTTGGTATCAGGGTTATGCTGCCTTCAGAGAATGAATTCGGTAGTAGTCCTTCCTTTTCTACTCTCTGAAATAGTTTGAGTAGTACTGGCTTGTGCTCTTCTCTGATAGTTTGGTAGAATTCTCCTGTGTAACTATCTGAACGAGTAGTTTTTTGTTGTTGGGAGTTTTTTATTACTTCTTTGAACTCTTCTCTTATTATGGGTCTGTTCAGATTTTCTATTTGAGTTTTTATTAGTTTAAGTAGGTAGTGTATTTGTAGTGTATTTTCTCAAATTTGTTGGAGTACAGTTTTTCATAGTGTTTTGTTATGATTCATTTTATTTCAGTTGGATCTGTTGTAATGTTCCCCCATCTCATTTCTTATTTGGATTTTTTGTTTCCTCTCCTGTTTTTCTTTTGTCAGTTTGGGCAGTGGTTTCTGAATTTTGTTGATCATTTCAAAGAACCAACTTTTGATCTTATTGATTCTTCCTATCGTTTTTCTGTTCCCTGTTTCATTTATTTCTGCTCCAATCTTTATTATTTCCTTTCTTTCGGTGACTGTGGGCTTCTTTTGCTGTTCTTTTTCTGTTTGTTCAGTCTGTAGGGCTAATGTTCTGATTTTGGCCCATTCTTTTTTTTTTCTTTTTTTTTTTAATGTGTACGTTTACTGCTATAAACTGACCTCTGAGCGCTCGCTTTGCTGTGTCCCGGAGGTGTTGGTATGATGTGTTTTCATTCTCATTTGATTCTAGGAAGTTTTTGATTTCCTCTTTGATTTCTTATATTATTCAGTTGTTATTAAGTAAGGTGTTATTCAGTTTCCATGTATTTGGTTTTTTTTTCTTTGCTTCTCCTGTTATTGATTTCTACTTTTATGGCTTTGTGATTAGAAAGAATGCTTTGTATTATTTCGATGTTCTGGATTTTATTGAGGGTTGCTTTTTGGCATAAGATGTGGTCTGTTCTGGGGAGTATTCCATGTGCGTTGGAAAATAATGTGTACTTTGCTGGTGTTGGGTGGAGTGTTCTGTATATGTTTATGAGGTCAAGTTGGTTGATTGTGGTGTTTAGATCTTCTGAATCTTTGATGAGTTTATTTCAGATGTCATGTTCTTTACCAAGAGTGGTGTGTTGAAGTCTCATACTGTTATTGTGAACTATTTATCTTTTCAGTGCTGTTAGAGTTTATTTTATGTATTTTGGAGCCTTGTCGTTGAGTGCATATTTGTTAGTGTTATGTCTTCTTGGTGGATTGTCTCTTTAATCATCATATAACGTCCTTGTCTTTTATGGTGGATTTTGCCTTAAAATCTGTTTTATCTGAGATTAGTATTGCCACTCCTTCTTTCTGGTTACTATTTGATTTACGTATATTTTTTTATCCCTTGATTTTTGATGTATTTTTGTCTCTGTGTCTAAGGTGTGTCTCTGTAGACAGCATATTGATGGGCTGTATTTTTTTGTTTATTCATTCTGCCACTCTGTCTTTTTATGGGTGCATTTAAGCCATTTACATTCTGTGTGATTATCAATGGGTTGAGATTATTGCTGTCATATTATTGCTTTTTTTTTTTGTACTTCTGACATTTTGTTTGTTTCTCTTACTTTCCTGTGCTGAGTTCCTTTTGTTTGTGGGTTTTCTTTTCTTTTGTTATTATAGTTTTTGTGTTCAGTGAGTCTTTATGTTTTACTTCTTTTTTATTTTGATGAGTAGGTTTGTTGACTTGCTTTGGTTACTTTGAAATTTACCCTTAACTTCCTAAGTTTGAACCAGTCTTTTATTATTTGCTATTGCCTTGACTTCCTCATCATTTGAAAGTTCTATACTTTTATTGTTTTGACGTTATCATCATTTACAGATTGATATCTCTGTTCCCTGTTGTCTGTCAGCTTTGTTTTATTATTGAGAGGTCTTTCCTTAGGTTGGTATCTGGCTGATGCTGTTCTGTATCCTTGAGTCCGGTTGTTGTCTGATGTTGTTGGTTCTCTAACTGAAGGACTTCCTTTAATATTTCTTGTTTGTTTGGTTTGGTTTTTACAGATTTCTTTAATTACTGTTTATCTGGAAATATCCTAATTTCACCATTATATTCAAGAGAGTTTTGCAGAATATATTATTCTTGGTTGGTAGTTTTTATCTTTTATGGTTTTATATATGTCATTGCATTGCCTTCTTGCCTACATAGTTTCTGCCAAATAATCAGCGTTCAGTTTTACTGAGCTGCTCTCAGGATTCTTTCTTTGTCTTTGGTTTTGTCAAGTGTGATTTTGATATATCTTGGTGACTTTCTTATGGGGTTTGTTGAGCTCTTGAATGGTCAGCTGTTTGTCTTTTATAATATTTGGGGATTTTTCTGCCAGTAAATCTTCAACAATCTTCTCTTTGTTTTCCATTTTCTGCCCGTTCTGGAACTCTGATCACACACCAATATCTGCTCTTGATTGTGTCCCACATAATTCTTAGGTTTTCTTCTTTTTCTTCATTCTTTTCTTAGATTTTTGCTCAAACAAGGTAACGTCCATGGATTTGTCTTCAATCTCGCAGATTCTGTCTTCCATGTTTCAAATTTGCTCCTAAAACCTTCTCTTAAGTTGTCCATTTCTGAATTTTGTTGTTTATCTTTTGGATTTTTAGTTGCTGTTTTTGTTATTTCTAATTATTTATTTTGATGTTTTTTCTTGTATTATTTTCCTGAATTCTTCTATTTCTTTTTTGTGTTTTCCATGATTTTGTCTATTCTTTGGTTTTGTCTGTTTTTTCCTTGATCTCTTTCCTAATCTTTTGGAGAGCTCTACATATTAATCTTTTGAAACCCTTATCAGGTAGTTCCATTGCCTTTTCTTCTACCAGGAGGTTATCTGATTCTTTATTTTGGTCACTTGCTGAAGTCCTCTTGTTCTGCTTTTTATATGTTTTGTTATTGTCTACTTTCTCCAAGATATTCAGGTGTTATTTTCTTTTTTTATTGACTGTATGTTCATTTGTTTTGCCCTGCTGTTTTGTTTTGTTTTGATATGTCAAGGTGAGTTGGCCATGCATGCTTTACTGCTTGCTTGTCTGTGGGCATGATAACTCTCACCACCTTTTCTGGGTGTGCAGGGCAGCAGCAGGCAGGGCAAGCCTGCTTCGCTGTACACTGGTTTGGCGAGGTGGCTGAGGGCGGACTGGGCAGGCACTGTCTACCTCCATCTGTTGGTCCAGTGGTGTGGGAGCGGTCATAGCTCTTTGTCAGATGGGCAAGGATATCAGATGTGGTGTGGTACGGGCTTGCTTCACACACTGAGCTTCTGGTCTAGTGCTGGGAGGGGCGGTGTGGGCCCAGTGCAGCAACAGGACTGGGTGCCAGAGACAGTCTAGCTGCAGCATTGCTATAGGGGCTGGCAGGACAGTTAGGACCCAGGGCAGTGGCGGGCCAATGGTTCTCTAGCTGTGGTGGCGTGCCAGGGACTGGTGCAACTGCGCAGTTGGTGGCATATGGGGCTAGGTAGGGGGAAGAAAGAAAAAGAAGAAAGAGCGAAGAAAAAAAAAAAAGGAAAGGAAGAAAGAGGGGAAAAAAAGCCATGTGGCAGTTGAGGGTAGGGCAGGCCCTGGGGAAATCTCGTTTTTGGACCTGGCAATGGGGGCTGTTGGAATGGGGGTTTTGTTGCTTCTACTCACCAGAAATGTGAAGGATGAGAAAGTGTGTTTCTCTGGTTACCAGGTACTTTATTTCCTGTTGGAGGCTGTGTGAAGTTGCCTTCCTGTACTCCTTGTCTGGGGTCATTGCTGGCGATGTTCCAAGATGGCAACACTGTGCCATGTCAGTTGGCAGGGGCCTTCCACTCTGTGTCTCTCCTCGTTCTTGTTTTCCTTCAATTTCTTCTTCCGTTTGGTGTTTGATCTACTTCCTTATCCCTTCATTTGATGCTTAGGGTTCTAGGATTGATGTTTTTATCTGTTTTACTTAGGTTTCAGGTCTTTGCTGCAGAGGGATGGCATGAAGCATCTGTCTAGGGCACCGTGTTCTCCGTGAATTTTTAATCTTTGTTATTGAGAATCCTCACTTGGTGCCATATATTAATAGTTACATTTTATTATTGTATGTCTTTTTCCCCAATTGCAGTATTCTCAGCTAGACTGTAAATCCTTCATTGAATTACAGAGACTATCTGAATTATGTTCTTAAATGTGTATGCTAAAATATAAAGAAAACTAATTATATTGAACTGCAGGACAGCCCCTACCCGCACCCCCAGCTTGAGAACCCTGAGAACATAATATCTTCCATAATGTAGGATGAGTTTTATTTTTGGAATGTTATCTTGTTATTTTCTCTTTTTAATAATAAAAATGATTTATTCTTTTATTCCTAATATTTTAGATGAGAACGTAGTCCAAAATTGAGTGTTTGTCTTTTTAATACTTGTTATGGATTATATTTTTAGAGAACCGTGGTCTTCTTTATTAGAATATGATTCATGTTTTTGACAACACTAGTTTTAAACAGCATTAATATATAACATTTTTATATGCTCAGGTTTTCCAAGTGGTGAGTATATTGAAACAAAAAGTTTGTAATTTACACTCTTGAAAACAAATTTTTTATTTCTAGTGCGTAGAGAAATCGATACTCTTAATGAACGTTTAGCTGCTGAAGGACAAGGAATTGATGGAGCAGAACTGAGTAAGGGCCAGCTCAAAACAAAAGGTAAGGCTGAATGGTCATAGGAGGATTGTCCCACAAATTATATATTGAGATAATTTGGAATTTTATGAAGGACACTGATTCTTTTCATTTTGCTGTCAGCAAAACTTGAAATACATAATTCAGGTATCGGTTCAGAAGAATAAAGAGCCAGAAGTCATGAGTTCTTGGTCCATCTGCCATTGTCTACATGTCAGTTAACCTTTCTGGGTTTCATTTTCTTCCTGTGTAAATGAGAGATTGGATTTGCTATCTCAGGTTCATTCCAGCTTTGAAATTCTGTGATTCTTTGAGTGTATGATTGTATTTGATTGTCAATTCTTTGTTTCTACAGCCAGTCATAGTACCAGTCAGCTTTCTCAGAAATTAAAGACCACTTACAAAGCTTCTACTAGCAAGGTATGCAAGACACTAACTCTTGGTTCCACATCAGTATTTACTCTTGAGCCAGTCATGTGGTATTTAAGATGTGTAGATGTGTACTTTAAATTGCATATTTTTCAGTTGCAAGTATTGAATAGAAAAAGATAAATATCTTGTTTTGGGGAAAATTTAATTTTTAAAAGGAATATCATAGTACGTTAAATGACCACAGTATGTAGACACTTAAACACTAACCTGCCCTAATATTTATTGAAATTGATACATTAGTACACTAGTAGATACCGTCTTTAGAGAAAAAATATGTTTTCTGTTTTGAATTGGTTTGACATAAAGGCTCTGAATTTGGAAAAAGCAACTAAATATGTATAAAACGATGGAAATTATGTTCTGAGTTATAGTTCCATTTTAGTTAATCATCTTCTTTTCCCTAATTTTCTAAGTATGATCAGGACGTGAAAGTCTGTCTCTAAGGCAAACAGAGACATTCCTGGTTTTTTGCTTTCTCTTAAAATATCTTGTTTTTACCTTTTCAAAGTGGCAAGAATTTAAGTATTTGTAAATTAATTTATTTATGATGAGTACTATTATGAAGTAACGTTTTGAGGTGATTTTGCATGCATCTCTGGAGTATTGGAATATAAAGATATACCACCTAACCTTATGAATGAATATACATTCCTTTTGCTAAACTTGAAAAAAAAATTGCAATTTTCAGTGAATCTGCTATGATGCATAAATAGTTAACCTTTTTTTTCCAATTGTTCCCTTGAAATTAAAGTTATTTAGCATGACATCCACAGTGAGATTAACTGCAATTAGTAGAGCAAATTCAGTCTTCTACTATTTCTGCTTATTTGAAAGTCTTTGGTAATTCTTTATTATTTTTTTTTTAAATCTGACTATTGCTGGTATTTTCTACTGTTTACTTTTTTTTTGATAACCTCTAGAATGTAAGTTGGTAATTAGTTTGATACTTTTTGGTCATATAATATCATTCAGCTTATGCTTACTATTTTTGAAAATTCTAATAAATTAACATCAAAATTTTTCTTCTAATGCAGTGTGAGATTATATTCTTCCTCATTTTACTTTTTTTCTGTTGTACTATGTTATTCTGGTAGTTGCAGTTGTATGTATGCCATGTATGGTTTTAAAATTCCAAATTTTAAACTTCCTGATTATTTCTCAAATAGAAGAGATGATTATGCAACATTATCCCTTATTATGAGCAGTAAAAAATATAATCTGGGCAAAGGTAAGGATATTTACCAGAATACTTTGCTTTAAAAAAAATGCATTAGAGATATTTAAAGCCTCAGTCATTTTAGATACTGGAAATTCATCTGAATTTATAAGAAGCATATTACTAATGATCTTTATAGCACTTTACACACTCTGTGTACCTGTTTTAAAGAATGATAATGAATACAAGACATTATTTGAAAATTGAGGAAATAATTTGGTAACAGAATATATTCTGATTTGTACTACAGCTTGGATTCTTGGTATTAAAGCTAAGCATGAATGCAGCAAGAAAAATGCTACAGTCTAGGTTCATTACTTTCCCTCCTTCTGACTCAGAGCTATGAAAGGCAAGTAGCATGTTTGGTGAGATAGTGGGAAGACAAAAGTGTGTTAGGTAAACCCAGAAGATGTTTTTCCCCTTCTTAGGTGGCTAATGACATATTTCTAATGCCTTACCGGGAGGGAGGTAAGACAGTCTATCACACAAACCACGTTAAAGAATTTTGTGACAGTGTTCACAAAGTAATATCTTTATAAACATCGTATTTTTTCATTGTGAAAAAAACTCTTCATTAAAAAGTGTTTTAGATTATATCTTAATTAAAGTGATAAATTAGGATGGGAGGAGTAGGCATCCATTTGTTGTTTCATTCTGTTGTTTTTCTTCATGAACGTTCTGAGTAATTCAGTCTGTGTGATTGGGCCTCTGTAATTTTTACTAAGTCAGCATTTTTAAGATCAAAGAGTTAAAGTTAATAGATGATCAAAGCATATAGGTATTTTGGAAACAATCTATTGGGTGATTGGTTATAATATCCGTAAACAACACATTATCTTCTTTCCTGCTTCCAAATGAAACTAGAAATGTGGTTGGAATGAGTTATAGCAAATGAAAAGCTTTCTGTTCTTATGTAAAAATAGAATAGGTAAAGAATTCAACTTATGGTAGTGTATTTATTACAATAATATTTATTAGAAATGGTGAGAGACTTGGAAAATGAAATTTACTATAACTTAATTATGGGGGAGAGTTTTGCATTAAATGTTATAATATATTAGATGTTATAATATTAACATCTAAATGACACTTTATGCCAGCAAAAGCACTTTTCCACATTTTAGAGGGATGGTTTTGCTGGGTTGAGTAAGATACTAGCTTGCAAAAAAAAAAGATACTGATGGGTTGAATAGGTCCTTTTATAATTCCTTTTAAATTTAAACCAAGTCAAATGGAAACTTTTATATATTACTGGTGAAAGAGTCGTTATCTTCTTCAACCAGTTTGTTTTAATCTTTCACTGTATCAGTGGGATAATTTGAATGCACGTACCTGAATTATTGTCACAGTGGATTATATTTTAATGTAGTAGGAATGCATTTAGATAAATTTTCAGGGCTTTACTTAGTGTTTTAAATAAGCTACCACCAGCTTTTCTTGTTCACTTGATTTTACAGTTTCACTATTCTGAATTCTTCTGAATAATCTACATTATTGTGGTTAACTCAAAAGCTAAAAAGCCATTCTTATATCCAAGAACAATTTAAAAACAAAACTCTAAAGAAATTTTTGTTTTTAGTTTCTTTCTCACTTGATATTTTTCCTTGTAAAAGAAAATCAGAATTGGTTGTTGTGTGGATACAAGACAGTATCTTTACTACTGTACGTATCACATTGTCTGTATTGTTTTCATGTCTGCCTTCTATTAGACTGTAAGCTTCTTAAAGGCAAGAAATCTATGTTTTGTTGTTCTTTGTGTCTCCTGCATGTAGTACAGTGTCTGGTACATATCGTGCTCAATAAATGATTTTGTACCAACCCGTTCATTTGTTAGAAGTGTTGTCTTTTTGATTACTTCATCATGGATTTTTTTTTTCTCCTGATAATATGTGGTTGTTGTAAATTATCAAATAACAGGAAAGAAAAGAGAAAGTTCCCCAATAATAAAAATAATTATTGTTAATAATTTGGGGTATACCTTTCTTAATTTTTCTTGCCTGGCTAACTAGGTAGCTACTTTTGTTTTCCTTTCTAAAGAATTTGGAAATTTCGTCTAATTGGATTTATGAAAGACTGACTTAAAACATCTAAATAAACCTTTCTTCAGTAGTAAGACATTGCTTGTCTGAATAATATCAAACTGAAATAGAGGGGAAGCCTTCTGAAACCTTCATAAGGAGTCTGTTCGTTCTAGCAGAGTACGTCTACCATTACTACGCAAGGCATTTCTGTTCTGCTGCTTACACTTGGGCTGTGTCCCTTTAATGCTTTAAATATTCTAATCATGATTTATGCATTTTTCAAGACATTTCTTCTGTTTTACCTTTTTTAACTTAGGAGAATTCACTTCAGTATGTCGTTTAAAAATATACCTTCCCTTCAATATTTTAGATTGTTTCCAGCTTTAAGACTACAACATCAAGGGCAATCTGCCAGCTTGTGAAGGAGTATATTGGTCACAGGGATGGAATCTGGGATGTGAGTGTTGCAAGGACACAGCCAGTGGTGCTGGGAACTGCATCTGCTGGTAAATTTTGGAAGATTTAAAGTAGACAATAATTAATCAAACTAGCTTATTGAAAAATAATTGCTTGATAACTGGTTGAAATTTCTGACTTTCAGTTGTCAATAATAGAGTGATCCCTTGAAGCAAAAGTTTATGACTGATTAATCACTAAGACTAACAAATTGAATTTTGCTCTCTGAGCACCCAGCAGTGCTTAGTACTGAAGACTTTTAGGGCTGTCTTTGCAGTGTGTCGAATATTGTAGCTGAGTGTGATACTATAGCCAACAGTGACTTAAATATTGGAGTAAGGAAATACTTGTTCTGTCTGATTTAATTTAATTGTGTGAAAGAATCAGTATGTGAACAATTAGAGACAGCATCAGAAGGGATATTTTTAAAACAAATTAGATATTTTTTTCTGATTGGTTTTCTTGATATTCATAGCTAAAAGTGTTTCTCGATATGAAAATTTCAAACAGTTGTTTTTCCACTAGTGAAGTACAGCTAAGGGAAAGGGCTGATTATTGTTGAAAAATGCATACTCTCCAAGGAGCTCAGCTAGAAGGGAAGGATGGACTCTCCTAGAGCTTACCTCTGGGAGTCAGAGAAATGGGGTGTTAGAGACCCTTTTCTTCTCATTAAAGATACTTTTATGAAAGTAGATTTTATGAAGGCTATCTAAGGTGGCATTACCCCTTCAGATAAAAATTGCTGAAATTAAAAAATAGTATTTGTTGAAAAATCACTTTCCTAGCTTGTGAGAAGTTACTCATTAGATCCTGCTTTTTAAAGTGGAAATAGAAAATGATAAACTAGTGAAATGAAGAAAGTTCTGTGTCCATTTTGCTTTTTCTCTCTTGTTTGAAATTATGTTCATACATGAGCACCCCGGGTTGCTTTGGAAATTATGATGAAAAATGAGTAAAACGGCCCTTTGCTGATATTTCTGAAATTCCACTTGGATAATTGGTATTTATTTCTCAGATTTTCCTAAAAAAAAAAAATCTACTTTTTAAAATTGTTCTTACAAGAGGAAAGGCCTGAAGGAATATTTGTTATCTGAATTTATTAGTTCCTGGATTTGAATGATATTAATTTCAATTTAAATATTCTAAGATGTCTGGAAAGATTTAATACTTGGACAAACTAATGAAACTATTATATAAATGACCTCTATATTTTAAGTCTCAAGTATGATGAAGTCAGTATAATAATGAATTTTGAAATATTGTCCCAGTTTTTCCGTTTGCCAGTTATGTGACCTTGAACAGGTCCCCAACACCTCTGATCGTTTTGGAAACTTTTTTATTTTTGATTGATTGAATTACACAGTAGTATGTATAAAGTTGCAAGAGATACTAGTTGTCGTTTAATTTTACATTTTTAGAATTCTTATTCTTTTATTTAAAACACCATGTAATTGGTCATGGTTAAATTACTCCTTTTTTATTTCAACCTTCCAGATCACACGGCTTTGCTGTGGAGTATAGAAACAGGAAAGTGCCTTGTCAAATATTCAGGTCATGTTGGATCAGGTAAGCATTTGTGTAAATCAGCACTTTATTTTCAGGTGTCATTTCCAACTTGGACTTGTTTTTAGAATTTTACATTATAAAATCAACTATATTGCCTGATTGGAAGTTTGATTATTTTGGCTATGCGAGGGCAGTGTGGTATATCCACAGAGTAGGGTAAGCTGTGCCTTTATCTTGTATAATTTTAATAAAGGGAAAAAGCTAAACTCTCCAAACAAGGTAAAAATAGTATTAGTCTACATTGTATTTAATGTTATTTAGGAAGCCATATTTTAGAAAATTTTGAAACTGAAATGTGTGCATTATTTATCAAAAAACATACCTATTTTAGAGATTTACCTTTTTTTTGTATTTTTTAAAAATGATATTTGATTGTTTTCAGTGAAAGTTTACACAGCAAATTAAAAAAAAACCCATTGCCATTGAATCGATTCCAACTCATAGGGACCCTACAGCAAAGGTTCCCATTTAACAATTTCTACTCAAATTGTTCAGTGACGTTGGTTACATTTTTCACAATGTATCAGCATTCTTACTATTTCCATTCTGGTTGTTCCATTTCCAGTAGGCTAGTTTCCCTGCCCTCTTACTTTCTCATCTCTGCTTTAGAGTAATTGTTGAGCAAGATTTACATTTAATGTAGTGATAATCTGACTATGTTGTTGTTGTTAGGTGCCATCAGGTCGGTTCCAACTCATAGCAACCTTATGTACAACAGAACGAAACACTGCCCCGTCCTGCGCCGTCCTCACAGTTGTTGCTATGCTTCAGCCCGTTGTTGAAGCCACTGTGTCAGTCCATCTCACTGAGGGTCTTCCTGTTTTTCACTGACCCTTTACTTTACCAAGCATGCTATCTTTCTCCAGGCACTGGTCCCTCCTGATAACATGTCCAAAGTATGTGCGATGAAGTCTCTTCATCCTTGATTCTAAGGAGCATCTGGTTGTACTTCTTCCAAGACAAATTTGTTCATTCTTCTGGCAGTCCATGGTATATTCAGTGTTCTTCGCCAACACCATAATTCAGAGGCATCAGTTCTTCTTTTGTCTTCTTATTCATTGTCCAGCTTTCACATGCATATGAAGTGATTGAAAACACCATGGCTTAGATCAGGGGCACCTTAGTGACATCTTTGCTTTTTAACTCTTTAAATTTGGATATAATATTCAGGCTAAATAAAGGGTACTGTTTATTAATATGCTTTTCACCTGTAGTTAATGCAATCTACAGTAGCTCTGTTCTGTCTTTTCAGTTTTTCCTCCATAATTACCATGTGTTCTGACCAAATTTTATTTCTCTCTTGTATCCCAGACTCCCTTTGTGGTTCCTTCTACTGTAATGCCCTCATCTCCAGTCTTTATCTGTCAAAAGCTGCCTTCCCCTACTCAGATGCCTCTACCAACCACCACTATTTCCTTAAACTTTAAAGATAACTGAGAGATGGGTTATTTGGCGTCATCACCTTCAACTTATATAAAGTTAGGTTTATCCCCCATCTACAAAATTCAGCGAATCCCCATTCATCTGAGTGTCTTACTGCCCATATCTGTGGAAGAAATATCTGTTCTCCCACCCAAGGCTAGTGCTTCTAAGTATATTGTGGGTCCCGGCCACTTCTCCTTTCTTAGGACCTTCACTCCTTCATTTATCCCTGTTGCAACCCTATAGGACAGAGTAGAACTGACGTATAGGGTTTCTAAGGCTGTAAATCTTTACAGAAGCAGACTGCCACATCTTTCTCCTATTGAGTGGCTGGTGGGTTCTGTATCTTTTCTCTCTCACCACAGGCTCTTTCACATTAGCATATAAACAAGCTCATATCTTTCTCGTTTTAAAAGTCTTCCCTCCACACTATATCCCCACCTCTCTTACTGCAGAACTGTGTCTGTGTCCCTATTGTATTGCCTGTAATTATCCAAGACAATGCCTGGACTATATAGAATAGGTGCTCAAACATGTAACACAAGTTTGTTAAATGAATGAACCACTACATTCTCTGTTTTTGTTTCTTCATCTCAAATTTTCTTTAAAAACATTTAAAAAATTAAATACATATATACAGCCTAAAAATTAAAAAAGTAAAGACAGCCTGTGTAAGAAAACAAGTGTCCTGCCTCATCCCTCCTCATCCCCGCCTTTTGCTGCCCAAAAGGCAACCACTTTTTACTGTTTTAAACATTCTGCTTTTTTTCTTCCATTTTTCTAAATGGCAGTTTATTATATTATTTCTTAATTTTTTAGTTTTAGACAAAGAAGCAACTCTTATTAAGGAAAATGAAGATTTACCTCACTTGCCGCATATATGCTGCTCTACTCCTTATCACCCTCAAACAGTCATATCATCATTTTTATTTAGGTAAACGTAGATTTTACATAATTTTGACTAGATTAGTATTGTTCACAATTACCCATGTACTGTACTAATTTCATTGCCATTTTTATCTTCTCTGGAGTGAATAATTCTCATTTTTTTTTTCATTTGCCTAGTTTTCTGTAAGCCAAACTCGTTGCCATTGAGTCAATTATGACTCATACAAACTTGTAGGACAGAGTAGAACTGCCCCATAGGGTTTCTGTAAATCTTTACAGAAGCAGACTGCCACATTTTTTCTCCCACGGAGCTGCTGGTGGGTTCAAACCTCCAACCTTTCAGTTCGTAGCTACGCGCTTTAAGCACTGCACCACGAGGGCTCCCTATATGTATCCCCGACTCATACTCTGCCAGATTGGTAAAATTACATAGTGTGATCACATTCAACAGATGGCCCGTTTATTCCTTTTTGTTGTTGTTCCCTCCTTGGAGTTCTCCATTCTTTCCCTGCCCTGGTTTGGTATCTAGGCCTTCAGAGATGTTGCCCTGGAAGTTTCTCTTCACTATCATCCTGGGATTTCTCTTTGTCTCTCCCCTGTGTTATGTACTCTGGTTTTTCTTTCTTTGTGGAAGCAAATCTTTCAATAGCTTCCTTATAAAAGGTGTCTTGGAGGTAAAAATTTTGTGACCTTGAGTGGTTGAAAAATATATTTTTGTGTACACTTGATTGATAATTTGGCTTGGGTGTATTCTTTTACATAGAAATTAATTTTCAAAAATTTGAAGGTATTGCTCTGTTGTCTTATTTTTATAGCTTTTAGTATTCATATTAAGTCTAATGTTATTTTAAATCCTGATCCTTTATAGGTGATCAGTGTTTCTCTTTTGAAGCATTTAGAATTTTCTTTCTTTTTCTTCTCCCGTAGGTCTTTTTTTATTGTCTTTATTTTGTTGGACCTTCAGTGGGACTTTTCAGTCTAGAAATGTGTGTCATTGAGTTCTGGGTAATAGTTATGTGTCTTTTTTTTTTAATGCTTTTCCTCTGTTTTTTCTTTATTATTATTTTGGAACTCCTATTAGTCGGATGAGCCCTGGTGGTGCAGTGGTTAACCATGTGGCTACTAACTGAAAGGTTGGAGGTTTGAACCCACCAGCTGCTCCATGGGAGAAAGATGTGGCAGTCTGCTTCTGTAAAGATTTAGAGCCTTGGAAACCCTATGATACAGGTCTACTTTGTCTGGTAGGATTGCTCTGAGTTCGAATCTGCTTGACGGCAGTGGGTATTAGTAGAATGTTAGAACTCCTGGATTATTCAGATTTTGTTACCTTTTCTCTTTCATTTTTTATCGTTTTGCTTATTTCTAGATTTCCTGAAATTTATCCTTCATCACTTCTATTAAAAATATTTTACATTTCATGCTATCATGTTTTTAATTAGTTTGAACCCACCAGCCAGTCTGTGGGAGAAAGATGTGACAGTCTGCTTCTGTAAGGATTACAGCTGGGAAACCCTATGTATCCAACTGTGGGGTAGTTCTACTCTGTCTGGTAGGGTCGCTATGAGTTTTTTTGTTTTTTGTTTTGATGGTTTTTTATTGTTCTCTGAAATTTCCTTTTTATGATAACCTCCTACAGAATCTTCTCTTACTTCTGTAATTAGTCTGCCAAGAAAGTGTACCTGTCTTCTTCTTGGGGTGAAGAAGTGAAAATATGGGGAAAGAAGGAGTGCTGTCTGGCAGTCTAACTGTATCTTATACAGACTTTCAGCTAATTCTCCTGTTTTCAATCCTCTACCATACCATACTCCTGCCTTCAGTAATGCTTTAAACCTCTTAGATTTTTTTCTTCGGAAACTTCTTATTGCAGTGTGACACTGTCTTTGGCTTCTCCAGAGAAACAGAGCCACTAAGATACACACACAAGCACACATGCACACACACACACGCACACACACGCACACACAGAGAGCTTGATCATCTTGAGGAATTAATTCATGTGATTTTAGGGGCTGGTAAGTTCAAAAATCTGTAGGTCAGGTGACAGACTGGGAGCTCTGGCAGTCTTGTACCCAAAATCAGTCTTGAGGCAGAATCCTTCTCCTTTCAGAAACCTCAATTTTTGCTCGTATGGCCTTCAACTGATTGTATGAGGCCCACCCAGAATATGGAGGGTAATCTGCTTTACTTAAGATCAACTAATTTAAAGATTAATCACATGTAGATACCTTCATAGCAATATCTGCTCAGCTTTTTAACTTGTTGAAAGTGCTTTCTGCTTGGTTTCTTGGCTTCTTGGCTATACGTGCACTGTTTAGGTATTGGCCAAAGCCTTGAGGGGAAATTGCACTCAAGATAGCTGGCCCACTTCTTAATGATTACTTTTTCTAAGGGATTTCCGTCCCTCAAGTCCTAACTGCGTTGGTGACCTTAAACTCCAATTTTTGGTTCCTAACAAGCAAGGATGGTGAGACTTTACCTTGCTTACTTTGGACACATCATCAGGAAAGAACAGTTGCTAGAAAAGGACGTCATGTTTAGTAAAGTAGAGAGTCAATGAAAGTTAGGGAAACCCTCAATAAGATGAATTGACACAGTAGCCTCAACTGTAGGCTCAAACACATCAAAGATCATGACAGTGGGGCAGGACTGGGCAGTGTTTCATTCTGTTATACATAAGGTCCCCATACGTCTGAGCCAACTTGATGGCAACCAATAACAAAACAACTTACTGGGGTGCTGCCACACTTGCTTTCTGCTTGGTTCCTGTGTCCTTGGTGGGAATGAGCAAATTCCTTGAGAGGAAAAAGCAGCCAAGATGGTAGGGCTATCAACATTGCAAATGCTGATACTTATTAAAACTTGCTACAAATGCTGATAGTTATGAAAACCTGTTGTCCTTGGGTCGATTCCAACTCATGGCTATTACGTGCCTACTATATGCCAGATTCTCTGCTAAGTACTTGACATGCATTATTTCATTTAAACTTCTCAATAACTCTGTGAGATAAATATTATTAATGTTCACAATTTCAGTAAGAAAACTAACACCTAAGATTATTAAGCAACTTGCTGTGAGTTTACACAGACAGAGTGAAAACTGGTCAATGATCTTACCGAAATTACAATATAATTATTTCGGGGGATGGAAACAGAAAGCATGCATGGGTGTGATATGGCACAGAAAAGGGGTTTTGAAAGAGAGCAATATCATCTTCCATAGTAGAAAGTCAGTAGGTAATTGCTAAAACAGAAAAATCAAATGACAGCAACATGAGCACCTTCTTTAAAGATGAGGCAGTAATAGTTTATTTTTTGCATTGTTCATTTTTAATTTTTATTTAAAGTGGCCAAAATTTTCCCCAGCTCTTCCCACAATTATCTGTAGTCTAATGTTGATGGTAAAAGAGTATCTTCTAGCATTTTCATTAGTACCCCAGGAAAATATTTTAATGACATTGCTAACTTATTCAGGCTTGGTAAAATTTCCTTTACACTCTGTGTAAGGGACCTGCATTTTCTTTACAAGTTATGAAATCAGGGTTAGGCTTTCCCAGAGTGACTTGGAGTTAAGTATTACATCAAAGTTGAATGCTTTGTTGGGGAATTTCAGACTACCTGACCAGCTGTGGCTTTCAAACCATTCTAAGATCTATCATTTACTTGTGGGTAGGTAGGGTGGGCTAAGGATTGATTTAGCAACTGTACACTGTCATCAAAGCTTTACCAATCTCATTGCATTGATTTCTGTCCTCATGCTTGTTGTTTTGAGCACACCTTTCACTATTATATTTGCATTGAAGGCAAAGAAAAAGGGGCAAGAGGAGATGCTAGAAATCTCCTCTTTTGCTCTAGCTCTTTTATCAAGAAAATGAAGCTTTCCCAGAAGCTTCAAGAAATTCCGTGTTGTCTCTTTTTTCATCCTGATTTATTTTCATCTCTGAATGACTTCTGTGTCTTTAAAAATAAATGAAATATTAACATTCTTTTTGTGTGTGTGTGTGTGTATCTTATACTTTAGCAATTTGGTAGTGCATGCTTAAGTTATTTTTTATTGTACCTTTATTCTAACATACACATTTATTCATAGTGTAATTGAATGGGAGGATATGATATTGAACTTCTAGGTAGTTATTTTAATTTTTAATTTTAACTTTGTAATGCATACTGTGACTAATAAATAGTGATACATTTTTATTACTTTAAAACTGTTCTGTAATATTTTTATTTTACAGTAAATTCTATAAAATTTCATCCCTCGGAGCAGTTGGCTCTCACTGGTATGTTTTTTCTTTATTGAACAAAAGTATTTATAATAATCCTAAAACAACTATAACTTTCTTTTATCAGCATCAGAATTATGTAGCCTTTTATAAAAATTAGGTAATATTTAGTAGACTTTATGAAGTAAATGTAGAAAGCAAAGTTAGAGTAGTACTTTTTTTAACCAATAGTGGATTATCAATTAGATTAGCTTGAATTTACTATGAGATCAAAATTAATTCATATCTTCCTGAAGTCTTTTCATAAGCATTTCATTATTACCTACTTTTTTATCTGCCCATGCTATAAAGATTAATGGTAGTTTGTAATGCAGTTCTTTGAAGCCCTGTGACTATTGTCACTTTTCTAAACCCTATATGCATCTAAATGAAGAAATGAGAAAAGTAATAATACTGAGACTTGGAAATTTGCTAAAGTCAGTATTCTTATTCCTTTTTAGTTTACCTAAGTTGTGATAGCTTGGATTACAGTTACATTGTGATTTGGAATTTGTCATAATTTGTCTTATACAGTGGTTTTAAAAACTAACTTTCATTTATTGCTTTTGGAGGGTAGCATTATTGGACTGAGGATATTTTCTGTAAAATTTAGAGTCTTCCTTAATTACATATGACTACACAATTGTCAGACACCTATAGAGCCCTGTGATATTTTGGAGACCCTGACGATAATATTGAAGGATAAGTGAGCTATAGACCAAACGTTGGTGAACTTCTTCTGTAAAGGACCAGATAGTAAATATTTTCAGCTTTGTGGGCTGTACGGTCTTTGTCACAACTATTCATCTCTGCTATTATAGTTCAAAAGCAGCCATAGACAATCCTTAAATGAATGGATGTGGGTTTATTGCAGTAAAATTGTATTTACAAATATGAGTGGCTGCCTAGATTTGGCCAGTGGGCCAGGTTTTGCTGACCTCGGGGATAGAGGACAAAAGTAAGGATAATGGATTGCTTCCTGCAGGTAGGGTTGTTTAAGGAAGAAATCTAAACACAAATACTTTCAATGCATTTGAAATGCAGCGATAACTCAGCTTGGTTACACGGGTTTGGTTTTATATATAAAAAGAGTATGGGAGGAAGATAGTTTGTCATATTTTAACAAACCTAGATCATATTAGCTTAACGTATACGTTAATAAATATTTGAAGATTAAAATAGACGGAGGAATTTAAACTTTATTAAATTGATGGTTGGATTGGAAAGGGGGCTGGGAACTGACAGCAGGGAGACCAATGAAAAGGTGATTGGAAGTGTGCAGATTCAAACCAAAAGATTAGAAAGAAAGGGATGAAATCAACAGACATTTTTAAAATGAAACTGATAGAAACTTTGAAACAGATTAAATAATGAGGATAGAGAAGAGAGGAGTCACAATGAGATGTGCATATGATTTTGATTCAAAGAGAAATTGGCACGTCAGAGCAATAAATTCATTTGACACTGGAACAAGTTTACTACCATCAATAACCTACAATATACAGTAACTTCCTTTGGGAAGATCTGCAGTAGTAAAGAGAAGGTGGAAGCCAGACAAGGCTTTTGTAAGGGGAGAGTAAGAAATCGGAGAAAGTAGAAATCATTCTATTTGAATGCCTGTTCTATTGGATGTATAGAACAGGCATTGACATATAAAGGCTCTGGCACTATCTTATGGTTAGTGATAGCTGTGGCACTATATTATAGCTTTCTGTTCCAAACCAGCATTTCCTTGAAAACTTTGGCTGGGGAAAAAGGATAGTAGCACAAATAAGATAGTACTATGTGATAGATGTCTGGCAAATTGTAAGGTCCCCAAAATGTTCCGTGAGTGAAAACATGCATTTATATATTACTTACTTTTCTGAGACACCTCAGAACCCATATAATCATAAGTTATAGTATAATAAATTTACTTAGATTAGATAGATAGAGAATAAAATCTATTTGTAAATTTTCTCTGAAGCTCTACAACTTTCTACCCTAAAATGAAATGGGTACATTTTTATAAGTAAATCATTATCCTAATTTTGTATAATTACTGCATTCTAAATAGCATTATGTAGTCTCAGAAAGAGCCATTTAGATGAAGCATATTTGTCTTAAATGATTGCTAAGTTACAGAAATTTGACTGATGCTGCTTAGCCAGAGCATAGCTCAAAGCACATTCTATGCATGGTGTGCACTTGGGATAACCTTTCCTCCTATTTCTTCTCTTCAGCTTCTGGAGATCAGACTGCTCATATTTGGAGATATATGGTACAACTGCCTGTACCCCAGCCAATTGCGGATACTAGTGTAAGCAGCACATTTACTTAACCTGAAAACTCAACATGGGGTATGTTGGTAGGGTTCTTGAAGTTGTGCAAATTTTAAAATAAATTTATAATATTAAAAAAGACTACCTTTGTTTATATAAATGCATGTTTGCTTTAACCTTCCTTCCTACTAATATTAAACATTTTCCATTAATTCTTAATTTTTATATATAAATTATATTTCCTGATGTGTTGTATATTTAATTTCAGACAATGTGTTTATCTTTCATGGATTTTATTAACACTTATGTTAATGGCTTGTATGATATCATTTTTATGTGGGTAAAATTTTTATGTAGCAACAAAATTGTTGCATATTGAGAAGAAGAATGAATTAATATATCTAAGCCATAAATCCTTAAATTACTGTTTGCATTGTACTGTTGGATAAATTTGTATCATTTTCAGACCAATAGCTCATGTTTATAATCAGGCAGAGGTTTTAATTATACTTTTGAGTGAAATGATCTTACTAATTTTTGTTTGTTACAGGGCAAAATTTAGCTATATAGCCTTTATCAGTGATTTTCCCTTTTCCCTGTGCTGCATAAGCAGGTAGAAAAAGTACATCAAGCAGAGCTGGCTAAATAATTTTATGTAGTGAAATTTAAAAAAAGTTAATTTTCGGTTTGTGTTTGGACTATAAATTCTTAAGCTGTGAGGAAGATATTCAGTTTTGATATTTCTGCCTTTGAATATTTCTTTTACTTTTTCTTTTGAAAAAATGTTTTAAGACATCTTTCTATTTGGAGATGGGTTTAGCAGTAAATTCCAGTGATAAGTAAGAATGAGTTTTCTTTAGTTAAAAGAGGTCTTAATTTCTGAGAATTTAATTAAAACAGTTCATTTTTAATTGAACATTCTGATTGAGGATTTTATTTTAACATGGTCTTTTTCCCTCATGGAAATACCAAAATATTCCTTTATGTACCATACTTAATGCATTCATTCATTTATTCAAGAAACAAAGATAATAAATGTTGATGGTGGACAAGGTCAGAGGGATGGGGGTGAGAATTAGTGCTCAGAAACAAGTTAACATTTTACTGAATTTTTTTTTTTTTTTGAATTAAAGGGAAAAAAACACTAATTTTGTCAGAGGGAAAAATTGCATATACAGTACTTACATTAAAAAGATTCATAGTTTACAGAAAATATTAATATTGAGTTTATTTTCCTCTTTATTATTTTGTTTGCATTGGGCACAGGCACTTTTCATGTTGATACTTATTACCTCAGGGTTAAGGGTTAATTGGGATGGTGGAGGTGGGGGGGGTGGGAATTCAATCTGAATTAAAGATGAGCCTGAATTATGTACAGTAACTTGAACTACTTTAGAAGTATTGCCAAGAAGAAGTTCTGTTTGTCTTTCTCTAAAAAGAGTAGATGATACTCTCTTTTGGTTATCACTAAATGCAAATGATACTTCTTAGATAGAAAACAACTTGTTTTCTTAGCTTTTCCTGGTTAGTTTTGACGGCCAGCTTGACTGCTTAGTTCTAATCTTAGATTTAAAAATAAACTCTAATAATAATCTATTAAGATCTATATACGTTTTGAATCAGTACAGCTTTTGGACAGACTTTTTCTCCTTTTAATTTGCATCAATGAGTTTGATTTGGCATCCACAATATTGATAAAAAAAATATTTGGGTGGCATTGTATAAACAGCTTTGGATTCCTGTAGTACTAAATGACTGCCACACACTAGTTATGTGATTGAGTAATGAACACAACTTAGTAGACTTAATTTTTCTCATTTGTAAGTGAAAATTGAAAGGAGTTAAGTGGTGTTTAGTGGTTCTCCCAATATTAAAATACCATAATTCAATATTCATTGATTCTGTAGACTGCTAGTACTCAGTAGTCTAGAAGTATTAAATTAGCAGTTCTTGGACATTCTATTAAAATTTTGCTAGCAGGAAAAATGATTAAAGTTAAATAGATTAATGATCTCTAAGACATTAGCAAAAATATACATAAACTATTCTCACCTTTTCCACCACCTGCTCTTGGCCAAATTAAGGTTAAAAGAGCTTATAAATATTGAATATGGCTCATTACATTTACATTTTTAAAATATCTTCTAGTTCCTTGTTTAGTTTAGAAAAATCACTTTATAAATGTACTGACTTTGTTTCATCTCTTAAAACTTGAATACTTATTACTAGGACTTTTTAAAATGGGGAACTCTAGTTCCAGATATGTCTCGTCTTTAACTGCACACAAAATATTACCACTTGAATGCCTTAAAAGTACCTCAAACTCAATGTGACCCAAACTGAACAAACACATGATCTTCCTCCCAAACTTCCTCCAGTGTTTACGCTCTGGGGAAATAGCTCCATTGTGTGCCTAGTTGTTTATTTCCTTACTTCCACAATTACTTAGTGAATAATCTATTAGGTCTGGGGTACAGCAATTAATAAAATTGTCCGGAAATTTGGAATTATCTTTGACATTGCCCTCTTTTTTCCTCCTCTCCCCTTCCCATTTCCAATTAATCCATTAAATCTTACTGATTCCTGTTCCTAAATAATTCTGGAATCCACTTTTCTCTATCCCTGTGATACACTTCTGCAGCACCCACCCAGAAGGTTTCAGCTTTCAATTGGCTGGACTACCATAGGCCACAGTTGTTATAGATTCACTCAGAAGGATGACATTGAGCATCTTTCCATGTGCTTGTTAGCCATTTGAATATCTTCTTTGGTTAAAAGTCTGTTCAAGTCCTTTGCTCAATTTTGAATTGGGTTGTTTGTGTTTTTGTTGTTATTTATGAATTTTGGGTATGAGGCCCTTATTGGATATATGGTTCCTAAAAATTTTCTCCCTATCTGGGCTGTGTTTTCACTTTTGATAAAGTCCTTTGATGCACAGAAGTATTTAATTTTTATGAGGTTCCATTTATCTATTTTGCCTTTTGCAGCTCATGCTTTTGTTGTCGGATCTGATATCCCAACACAGAAAACTAGATCTCACAATTTCACCCCTATATTTCCTTCTAAGAATTTTATGGTTTTAGTTTTCACATTTAGGTCCTTGGTCCATTTTGAATTGTTTTTTGTGTATGGTGTGAGGGTTGGATCCTCATTCATTTTTCTGCATGTGGAAATCTAATTTTCCCAGCACCATTTATTGAATAGACTCTTTCTTCCCTATGGGATGGGTTTAGCACCCTTGTTGAAAGTCAGTTGACCACAGATGTATGAATTTATTTCTGGACTCTCAATTCTATTCCATTGTTCTATATGAATCTTTGTATCTGTATGAATCTTTATAGTGTGTTTTGAAGTCAGGAAATATGAGTCCTCCTACTTTATTCTTCTTCAAGATTGCTTTAGCTACTCAGAGTCCTTTGCCCTTCCATATAATTTGAGGATTGGCTTTTCCATTTCTGTCTGGAAGGCTGTTGGAATTTTGATGGGGATTGCATTGAATTTCTAGTTAAGTTTTTATCCATGCCACTCTACAGACACCACTCTAATCAAGGTCACCTCTATATTGCCATATCCAGTGGACAATTTTCAACCTCACTTGTTAGTCTCCTTTTTGATAACTCAATACAATTGACCATCTCTCCATTAAACACTTTCTGGTTTTCTTTTGTTTTCTCGCTTCCTCACTGGCTATGCCTTTTCAGCCTTGTTTGCTGGATCATTCTCCTCTTCCTAACTGTTTCAGTGCTCTTAGACTCAGCCCTCTTATTTTCTTCTCAGACTTATTCCCTAGGTGATCTCATTCAGCACCCAAGGCTCTAAAAACCGTCTGAGTGCTGCTGACCGCCAATTTTACATACCAGTTCTGAGTGATTTCCTTGTAACTCAAACCTGGATGTCCCCTATAACATGCTCCTTTCGTTGTATTCCCCATCTTGGGAAATGTCACCATCATTCACCCAGTTGTTCAGACCAGAAACCTTTAAATCACTCATGAACCTTAATGAACTTTTTCTCATATTCCATATCCAACCTATCAGTAAATCCTGACGCTATTCAAAATATGTTCTAATTCAGACTTTATTTTCACTCTATTACTACCGCCTTAGTCCAAGCTACCTTGGACTTCTACATTCGCCTCCTGTCTGTCTCCCTCCTTTCATGTCTTTCCCCTGTATTGTGTCCTCCACGCAGCAGAGTGATCCTTTTTAAAGCATGAGTCAGATTATATCACTTCTTTGCTCAAAACAGTCTGGTGATTTTCCATCACGCACAGGATATAATCCAAAGTTCTTTGCATGGTCTGCCAGGTTTTACATTAGCTAAATTTCTGACTTCCTCTTCTACCACCTCCACACCACCCCCACCTACCACCACCATCACTGTACTCCAGGCACACGGGTGCATTTGCTGCCTCGGGAGCATACCACGTAGACTCCCTTCTCAGGACCTTTGCAGTTGTTCCTTCTGCCTGTAATGCTGTTTCCCTAAATATCTGCATGCCTTACTCCCTTACTTTCTTTCAGTCCTGACGAAATTGTTATCAGAGTCCTTCTCCGATAATCTAATATAAAATAGCAGCCCCTGTGACTATATTGTTAGTTTGCTTTATGTATCTTCATAATACTCATTACCACCTGACTCTGTGTGTGGGGGTGGGGGCGGTGGTTGTCTGTATTCCTTGCTATAATATAAGCTCCTTGAAGGCAGAGACTTTGTCAGTTTTGTTCATTCTGGTATTCTCATCACCTGGCATATACATAGTCTTACATATACACATATCAGACAGATATATCACCTTCTTTGCTCCTTACCAGCAGCTGGGCTGGTGCCTGGCACTTTTAAGCAACTGATAAATATTTGTTGAATACAGATAGTCCCCAGCTATGACAGGGTTCCGTTCCAGTGCCTCCATTATAAGTCGGTTCTGACATAAGTCGAATACATCTTTTTTTTTTTTTTTTAGTTTTCATTATTATTGCTTTTTATTTTCAGTATCTTTATAAATCCGATCTTTGTCTTTGTGGGTTGGGAAAATTACATGTAAACTTAACAGATATGATGACATTAGCAAATTATGCACTGCAACATTGTATGTGGCACATATTACTAATGATAAGATGTACCAAAAAAAAAAAAAAAAAGAAGGACGGTCATAAGTGGTCATAAGTGCGGTTCTTTGTAACTAGAATACGTCGTAAATTGGGGACTACCTGTAATTAGATAAGCATATTTCCTTAAATGACTGAAACCTAGACCAGGAAGTCCATTATATTTTCATTTTATCCTTGGCTTTTGACAAAAGTCTTCACTGGTATTATAGGAAAATAGAATAAGCTCGTATCTATTATTACAACAATAGAATTCTGAGTATATTTTAAACAAGCTCCTGAGAATTGAAAACATTTCTAATTTTTTAAATGTGATATATTGACTTTCAATTATACTTTTGAAAGTTTTATGTTACATTTTATTAATAAGTGGTAAAAATTTGAAATGCTGAAAAATCATTCTATTTGTCATTTGTCATCTTACTGGTTACCTGCAATGAATTATAGCTCATTTCATGTCATAGTGACCTTTTTTTTTTTTTTTAATTTCTTTTCTTTTACCTTGGGTTTTAGCCAAGTAGATAATTATAAATTTGATCCATATTCATTGAGCACCAGTTATGTCCCAGTAATTGTGCCGGTTTTGGTCATAATGATGAATAAGTCCTAGAAAGGTAAATAAGAGCAATCTGATTATGTAGCCATGCCAGAAAAAGACTTAAGATCCTGAGGAAATTTCTTTCTCTTTTCGTCTTATCTTTAGCAACAAATATCTGGAGAAGATGAAGTAGAGTTTTCTGATAAAGATGAACCTGATGGAGATGGAGATGTTTCCAGTGATTGCCCTACCATTCGAGTTCCTCTGACATCTCTTAAAAGCCACCAAGGAGTGGTCATAGCAGCCGATTGGTTGGTTGGAGGGAAGCAGGCAGTGACAGCCTCCTGGGACAGAACCGCGAATCTGTATGACGTGGAGACATCTGAACTTGTACATTCTCTGACTGGTACTTTACTTTAAACACTTAAGTTTTCTATTTGATTATTTTTGATTTATGTTCATGTGTTAATATACTACAAATCTTTTCTTGGCCAAAATTATTTTTATAGCCCTGATTCTTAGGTTGTAATTTTCAGAGATCCTTTCTAATCAATAGAACTGTTGGTAGCTCAGTTTGTTTTATCTTTATTTGATGGTTGTTACGTTAGCTTTCTAATGCTTTGTAATAATTACCATAAATTTAGTGGCTTAAAACAATACAAATTTATTATCTTAACATTTTCCGTGTGTCAGGAGTCCCAGTCCAGATTAGCTGACCCTCTGCTCAGCGTCTCACTAGGCTGAAATCAAGGTGTTTGCCAGGGCCGTGATCTCTTGACAGAGTTCATTTCCTTGCGGCTGTCTGAGATCTCCATTTTCTTCCTCTCTGTTGGCCAGGGACTGCTGTCAGCGTCTAGAGGCTGCCTTCAGGTTTCTCATGGCCCCTCCAAAGGCATTTCACTGCATGACTGTTTGCTTTCTTCCAGGCTGGCAGGAGAATGGCTGTGCTGCTTTTAATTTCTCTGGCTTTGGGAAGGCCTGGACCCTTTTAGGAGGCCTAGTGGTGCAGTGGTTATAAGAGCTCAGCTGCTAATCAAAAGGTTGGCTGTACGAATCCACCAGCCACTGCTTGGAAACCCTATGGGGCAGTTCTGCTCTGCTCGATAGGATTACTGTGAGTTGGAATCAACTCAACAGCAGAGGGTTTGGTTTTGGTTGGACCCTTTTTAAGATCTCACCTGATTAAGTCATGCCCACCCAGGATAATCTTTCTTTTGATTAACTCAAAGTCAACTGATTTAGGATTCTTAATTACATTAGAAAAATCCCTTTATCATATAATGTAACATGATTACCAGAACTGTATCATCTGCCCAAACTCAAGGGAAGGATAGTATTCAAGGTGTGTATACCAGGAAGTAGAATCCCGGGGGCCATCTTAGAATTCCTCTTGCCGTAGTTGTTTTTACAAATTCGTCAGTAAATTTATTTCCTAACTGAGTCTTAAAGATTGTATTTTACTGAGGGCTCTACAATATTATATTATTAGAGGTTATTCTGGAAGTAAAGAATTAAGTTGTTCACATACTCAGACTGTTCAAGTGTTTTACCTGACTTTCTATTAGGATCAGAAAATGGATTACACACATATGCACCTGTTCCTCTTAAATACATGACTGAGAACTTCTGGGTTCAGAGGAAAATTGATTCCTCACACTGTGACTGCACATTCTGTTAAATTATTTCTTTTGCATTGAATTTTAGCAACAGCCCATAAAGATTTTTTTTTTAAATTCTTGTTCTTAAAAATAGCTTTTTTCTAATTGTGTATATGCAGGTAAATAATCTTGCATTTTTGTTACTCTAAATATTCTTTTTTATGTTTAATTATAGGACATGATCAAGAATTAACACATTGTTGTACACATCCCAACCAGCGACTTGTGGTAACATCATCTCGAGACACAACTTTCCGTCTTTGGGATTTCAGGGATCCTTCAATCCATTCTGTGAATGTTTTTCAGGGTCACACAGAGTAAGTCATGGTTCTTTTAGATTTAGATGTTTATTCTTAATTATTATTGAGAAAAAGTTTCATGGATTGACATTAAAACTCAGTTTTAATCTTAATTCTTGGTATTAATTTTTAACTCCACTGTCTTTCAAAATGAATGTTCTTTTCCTAGACATTTAGCTTGATTTTGAAGATTTCAAAAAATTTAGGAGGTTAATAGAAGACTCTCATGTTCTCAAGAAATTGGACAGAGGCATAGAATGCAGCAAAGGGAGACAGAGGAGGTTTAAAAGAATCAAGAAATGTTCCAGGGTTTGTAGCATGAGTAACTAGAGGGGTGGTTGCGTCACTTATTGAGGCTGAAAAGCTGGGACTCTTTACAACCACACTTACAAATAATTTTATTGGAATGTTTTTAGTCTAATTTTTGTTGTTATTGGCAGGGCATTCTGGGAGAAGATACATACACAAACACTCACACACACACGCAGAGATAAACATAGACCCTCAACGTAGTGTGAAACCATCTCTGTTTGGATTTCTTTTAGGCAACTCAAGCATAATGATGTCTAAACAGAACTCTTGTCCTGTTTTGTATCCTCAATGTTTAGAAAAATACTTGGCATATAATAGCCCTAAGTAAACTTTTTTTTTAATTTTACTTCACGTGAAGGTTTACAGAACAAATAGCTTCCATTAAACAGTAGTACAAATATTGTTTTATGACATTGGTTAACAACCCCACGACATGTCAACCCTCTCCCTTCTCGATCTTTTTTCTTTTTCTTTTTGGTGAAAATATACATGGCCAAAGATACACCATTTCAAAAATTTCTACATGCACAGTTCAGTGACATCAACTACCCTCTTCCAGTTGTGCTGCTATTCTCACTTTAGATGAAGGTTTACAGAACAAAATAGTTTCTCATTAAACGGTTAGTACACATGTTGCCCTATGACAATGGTTAACAACCCCACTACAGATCTACACTGTCCTTATTCAACCTTGGGTTCCCTATCCCCAGCTTCCCTGTCCCCTTCTCCCTTCTAGTCCTTGTCCCTGGACTGCTGTGCCTCATTAGTCCCGTTTTGTTTTATGGGGCTGTCCAATCCCCGGCTGAACGGTGAACCTCGGAAGTGACTTCACCACTGAGCTAAAAGGGTGTCTGGGGGCCATACTCTCGGGGTTTCTCCAGTCTCTTTCAGGCCAGTAACTCTGGTCTTTTTTGTGTGTGTTAGAATTTTGTTTTACATCCTTCTCCAGCTCTGTACAGAACCCTCTGTTGTGATCCCAGTCAGAGCAGTCAGTGGTAGCCGGGCATCATCTAGCTGTACTGGACTCAGTCTGGTGGAGGCCTTGGTAGCCATGGTCCATTAGTCCTTTGGACTAATCTTTTCCTTGTATCCTGTTCTGTTCGTTCTTCCTTGCTCCCGAAGGGCTGAGACCAGTGGAGTATCTTAGAGGACTGCTCACAGGCTTTTAAGACCCCAGACGCTACTCACCAAGGTAGAATGTAGAACATTGTCTTTATAAACTGTGTTGTGCCAGTAGAGCTAGATGTTCCCTGAGACCATGGTCGCCACAGCCCTCTGCCCAGCAATTCAGTGCCTCAGGGAGTTTGGATGTGTCTATGGAGCTTCCATGACCTTTCCTTGTACAAGTTGTGCTGGTTTCCCCAGTATTGTGTGCTGTCTCACCCTTCACCGAAGATATCATTTATCTATTGCCTGTTTAGTATTTTCCCCCCACCCCTCTCATCCCTGGTGACCAACAAAGATTGTTACTTTTTGTGTGTGAACTTTTTCATGGGTTTTTACAATAGAGGTCTCATGCAATATTTGTCCTTTTGTGATTGACTTATTTCATTCAGGATAATGTCCTCCAGTTTTCATCCATGTTATGAGATGCTTCACAGATTCATCGTTGTTCTTTATTGTTGCATAGTACTCCATTATGTGTATGTACCATAGTTTTGTTTATCCATTCATCTGTTGATGGGCATCTACGTTGTTTCCATCTTTTTGCTATTGTGAACAATGCTGCCATGAACATAGGTGTGCATATGTCTATTTGAGTGACGACTCTTATTTCTCTAGGATATATTCCTAGGAGTGGGATTACTGGATTGTGTGGTATTTCTATTTCTAGCTTTCTGAGGAAGCACCATATCACTTTCCAAAATGGTTGCATCATTATGCATTCCTACCAGCAGTGCATAAGAGTTCCGATCTCCCCGCAGCCCCTCCAACATTTGTTATTTCCAGCATTTTTGATTTGTGCCAGTAATACTGGGGTGAGATGGTATCTCATTGTGGTTTTAATTTGCATTTCTCTAATGGCTAGTGATTGTGAGCATTTCCTCATGTGTCTGTTGGCGGCTTGAATGTCTTCTTTGGTGAAGTGTCTGTTCATTTCCTTTGCCCATTTTTTAATAGGATTATTTGTCTTTTTGTTGTAGAGGTGTTCAATTTTCTTATAGATTATGGAGATTAGACCTTTGTCTGACTTGTATTGTCCAAAACGTTTTTCCCAGGCTGCAGGTTCTCTTTTTACTCTTTTGGTGAAGTCTTTTGAAGAACATAGGTGTTTGATTTTTAGAAGATCCCAGTTATCTAGCTTCTGGGGTTTGTGTGTTCATGGTTATGGTTTGTATCCTGTTAATGCTGTGTATTAGGGCCTGTAGCATTGGTCCTATTTTCTTTTATGAACTTTATAGCTTTTGGCTTTATATTTAGATCTTTGATCCATTTTGAAGTAGTTTTTGTATATGGTGTGAGGTATGGGTCTGTTTCATTTTTTTGCAGGTGGATATCCAGTTTTGCCAGCACCATTTGTTAAAAAGACTGTTCCCCATTTGATGGATTTTGGACGCTTGTCGAAGATCAGGTGACCGTAGGTAGATGGATTTACATCTGGGTTCTTAGTTCTGTTCCATTGGTCGATGTATCTGTCATTGTACCAGTACCAGGCTGTTTTGACTACCGAGCTGTATAGTAGGATCTGAGGTCACGTAGTTTGAGTCCTCCAACATTATTCTTCTTCAGTAGTGCTTTACTCATTCGGGGCTTCTTCCCTTTCCATATAAAGTTAATGATTAGTTTTTCCATCTCTTTGAAGAATGTTGTTGGTATTTGGAT